CTAAATATTTGTATAGCCTTTATATTTACAAATTCCTGTAATTCTTTCAAACTCTTTCCTTTGGTCCTGGTATATACAAGGAAAAAGTAACTGTTCCAAACTTGCTATGAGATCTTGGGCAAGCCAGTGGTCCTCTCTGAAACTCAACCCTTTTTACCATAAAATGGGCTAACAAAACGTGTGTAGCTTCTTCTGCCTCCACGTATCTCTCTTGATTAGCTGCAATGTTTTGTTCAAAAGCTCCCTCTGTTCGGCTCCAGAACGGGTTATATTCCCCATTTTGCAGGAGACAGAGGCTTAAAACCGCCAAGCGATTTGCCCACAAGCACTGTAACTGGAAACCGAGTCTTGGGTTCCAGGTACTGACGGCATCCCACAGGGTCCAAAAATGTGGACCTCACCTGAGCCCGGGTGGGGGATGCGGATGGCAGGCATTTGCAGTTGGTTCGGAGCCGAGGTCCACTTCCCACCCTGGGAGCGATGCGAGGGTGCCGGCAGCGACCAGGCGCTGCACACGTCCACGGAGAGATCAGTCACCCCGGCCCAGCAGGGCCGCCATTCCTCCCCACTTGACCTGCCTGGGACCGATTGACCTGCAACCCGCCAACCACCGCGCCAGCTTCGCAGGGACCCGGGCCAATGGCCTGAGGAGCTCGTGGTCGCGCTTGGCGTGCCGGACCAATCCTAGCCTGGGAATTCCAGGGCGGGTGCTGTTACCAGGGCTACGAGGCTCCGACGGTGACCAATGAGAACCCGAAGAAGGAGCTTGTACTGGCGCAGAGGCCGGAGCCTCCCTCCAGGGTAGAGGACTGCAGCCCGCGCGCCAACAAGGCCGGAAAGGAAAATAAAGTGTTTTATGCAAAAATCTTGTTTTGTTGGGTGGAAGGCTGGCAAACTCCTAAGTCTCTAGTGAGTGGGAAAAGATGCAAATGCAATTGTATTGTCACATAGGGAAAATGAGGCCAGGGACCCAAATTCAGCCTCTCTTGTCAATCCGTGGAGTTAAGGCAAATAAAGAGGGATGTGCCGGACTCTGGCTTTGTCCGGTGTAGCTAACGCCACAGTTTTACAGAACAAGTTTTAGGAGCAGTGTTTCAGGCCTCTGGGCCACTCCAAGGGCTGACTGGCTGTCACCTCCGCCCACCTACAGGCCCCAGTTTATCACTAAACTTTGGAGTGATGCCTTTTTCCCTTGCTCAAGAGCCCACTCCCATTCCCAGGAGGGCCATTCTCTTTTTTAGTAAACCATCTCTATTAACAAAAAAAAAAAAAAAAAAAAACGCCAAAAAAAAAACAAACCCACCAACTAGTGACACCAAAGATCAGTGTTGGTGCTTAGTACTTAAAGGAAAAAGTTGGGCCAGTTGGACCTTTAATCAGCACTTGAGGCAGCAGGCAGACCTCTAGAAGTTCAGGGCCAGCCTGGTCTACATAGTTCCAGGCCAGTCAGGGCTACGTGATAAAACCCTGTCTCAAAACAAAACAAAAAACGGAAAAGAAAGAGAGGCTGGAGAAATGGCTCAGCAGTTAAGAGCACTGGCTGCTCTTGCAGAGGACCAAGGTTCAGTTTCCAGCACCTACATGGCGGCTCACAACCATCTAAACTCCAGGAGAGCCAACGCCATCTTCTGACCTCCATGGCTATTGCACTCATGGTGGACTTACACACAACGCAGGCAAAACACTCATATACGTAAAATAAAAATAAATGTAAAACACTTTACACAGGTCTACAGGAAACATTTTGGATTAAAATTGGTAAGCACGCTTTTTTAAAAAAATTTTTTGTCTTTTTGAGACAGGGTCTCCCTGTAGCCCCAGCTGACCTGAACTCACTATGTAGACCAGGCTGGCCTTGAACTCACAGCGATCCGCCTGCCTCTGCCTCCTCAGTGCTGGGACTAAAGGCATGGGCCACCATGCCCGGCTAACATGCTATCTTTAACAGATTAGGAAAAATGTTAAATTAAGGACTTTCAAGCCGGGTGTGGTAGCCAACACCTTTAGTACCGGCACTCCAGAGGCAGAGGCAGGTGGATCTCTGTGAGTTCAAGGCTAACCTGGTTACATAGTACCAGGCCACCAGCTGGAGCTACAGGGAGACCCTGTCTCAAGAAAAAGACAAAAGAAAAAAAAAAAAAAAAAAAAAAAAAAAGAAAAAGAAATTAAGAACTTTCACCTAGGCAAAGTGGCAGGCGATTTCTGTAGTTCCAACTACTCAGAAACTGAGGCAAGAGGGTCAAGAGTTTGAAGCCAGTCTGGACAAAAAACAAAAACAAAATGAAAAACAGAAACAGCTGGGTGTGGTGGCAAATGCCTTTAATCTCGGCACTCTGGAGCCAGAGGCAGGCAGATCTCTGAGTTTAAGGCTAGCCTGGCCTACATAACTAGTTGGAGGTCAGTCCTGTTTAAACAGTTTAGGTATTTTGCCTAAGTTTTAGGCAAGTAGAATGAATATAAGGCAATCTAAAATCAATGTTACAGGCTGAGTTGGTAGGAAGAGGGCAAAGTAAGTACTGTTACTCTTTTTTTGGTTCTAGTTTTTTGAGACAGGGCCACTCTGTATCCCCGGCGGACCTGGAACTTGCTATGAAGATCAGGTTGGCTTAGAACTCACAGAAATCCACTTGCCTCTATCTCCTGAGTGCTGGGATTGAAGGCATGTGCCACAACGCCCGGCTGTACATTACTATTTAAATGTGAGGTATCAGGCTCTATTTGGCTTCAGATCCATTTAGACAAATACGGGTTTCCTTTAAAATGGAAGTTTGAGGTCAGCCTGGGCTACATGAGACCCTGTCTCAAACAAACAAACAAACAAACAAACACAAATGCAAAACAAAAAACAAAACAACTTTATTGAATGTGAATAAAAATACACAACAGGTACTTCAAAAAGAGCAGCAAGTCAAGGATCACCCTCCTTCCGTCTCTGAAAACAGAGGGTTTTTTTGTTTTTGGTCTTTTTGAGACAGGGTCTCCCTGTAGTCCCAGCTGACCTGGAACTCGCTATGTAGACCAGGCTAGCAGCCTTGAACTCACAGAGATCTGCCTGCCTTTGCCTCTGGAGTGCTGGGATTAAAGGTATGTGCAACACCATGCCCAGCTAGTAGGGTTTTTTTTTGTTGTTGTTTTTACCAGGCCCATTTTGTTGCAGCCTATAATGGCAGGGGTTCATGTCTCTAGGTGAATGTTATCTAACCTCTGGGGCTGGGGAAGGGGAGTGACCTTTCAATATGGAGATAACTTTGGCTTTGAACAATGAATGAGGTGTCTATTTAGAATGCCAAAGGGAGGGCTGAAATGGGGCAGGCTCAAGGGACTGTCACAGTGGGGCTACTTGCTCCCCAATTTTAACATCTTCTTAGCCCTTACCTAGGAAGACTGATTAAAATACTGACCTACAGTTTGACCTGCCCACTTTGAACTCTCAAACTTTCAAGGGGAAGAGTTCTGAAGTCCAGTGCACTAGTGAAAATACTTAATCACGAATCATGGCTTCAGTAAGGGGGAGGCTGTCCCCTTCCTCCAGCTTCCCCCAGAGGAAAGGGAGGCAGCCCACATCCCTGAAGTCAACTGGCTGCTGACTGGACTCAGGTAGCTGATAGGGGTCAGCCCAAATGTCTACAATCTTGCGCAGGGTGGCATAGCGCTCCTCCAGCTCTGGCCCCTCAGTCTGCATTAACAGGTTTGCCAGCTCCCTGCTTAGGTCCTGAATCATGTGGTTCCGACTTTGCTTCTCAGGTTGATCTGTGTTTGGGATCACTCCACGGTCCTGAAGCTCCCCATCAGGCCCAAGCAGGTGCTGGTACTTCTTCTGCCACCGGCGGCATACCATGGCTTCTCCTACTGGCTGCTGGCTGGTGTGCAACAGGGCCAAAATGTGTCTGCATGGCAGATGGTAGCACTGCTGAAAGGAACAGCTGCAGCTACAGCCATCTTTGCTCACCTGGTGGGAGTCCTCCAGCAGCTGAACATCCACTGAGGAGCCTGTCACGTCTACCAGGTGGGTAGAATTCTGCACCACCTCCCACTCGTTCTGGCACAGCTTGTAGGCTAGTGCAGAACCACTTTGGTGCAAGGTGTCTAGCATGCCACCCTTGGAGGACTGTTCCTGGAGCTGCTGCTGCTGCAAATGAGCCTGCTGGGAGTCTGCTTTTGTTTCTTCCACAGGAAGCCTGGTGACATTCCCTCCACAAATTCTAAAAGGCTTCTTGGCCCTTGGTGACATGCTTGGAGGCCGAGCTCTCTTTAATTTAGGAGGAACTGTGGGTAAGTTCTTCAAACCTGTGGTATTAAAGAAGTCTATGTAATCCACAAAGCGAAGGATACAGTCCAGTAAGGACTGCTGCTCCCGAAAGAGGCTTGACACCTTGCTGGTCACTATGTCCAGGCTATCCATGTAGGTGCTACATGCATGTAGACCCTTCCTCACATGCATGTACCACAGCAGTTCACAGGAAAACCAGTGGGCTTGCAGGAACCTGAAGAGATCTTCATCTAGTAGGGCTTGGGACATCTGACAGAGATTTTTAAGGCTGGCATCAGAAGAGACAAACACAGCCTCCCGCAGGGCTTCCTTCATGAGCCTCTTAAAAGAAGCATTTGCCGAACTTTGATGTAACTTCTTCTCTAAGAGTCTAGTTGTGTGGTAGATGGAAAGGAGGATTCGGGCAGCAGGGAAGATCTCCTGAAGAATGGCTCGGTGAGGGAATGAAGGGTCCACAAAGACCACCTTGACCTTGGGCCAATCAGAGTTGAATTCTGTGAAGATGTTCAGCATCTTGGCCACAGAGGGGGCTGTCTCAGTCTTGAGTACGGCGAAGTGTACCACTCGACCCTCTCTTTCCTTGTTCTCCACCAAGAAAGCATACAGAATATGGCCCTGGCTGTTCTCCACCCGGTGCAGCAAGAGATTCTCTGGGAAGCGGATGAACAAGTCACTCATCTTGCTGCTCTGGAAGCTGAGTCGGTCCAGGTCTTGGCTGGTCCCCACACTGAAGGAAGCCATAGAACCCTCATCAACTGTGAGAAAGTTCTTCATCACTTTTGCTATCTTGGCCAGATCAGAAGGAGTGATACTGTCCTGTTCTGGAGTTGAGGGTACTTTATCTAAGCAAAAGGAAGGTTCTACAGGGCTCTCTGCTATATCAAGGTCTTTCTTGATGGCGAGTTGCAGTGGCTGCAGTTTCTGCAGATATACTATCTTTTGAGATTTTCTAGTGGGGTCTCCTTCAGGACCAGCTGCATTAGAATCAGCATGTACATGCTGGGTATTCAGTTCACTGATGAACAGTCTATCTAGTCTCTCGTTGTACTGCAGCAGCAAATACGCGGGGCACCTGTCCACCTTGCGAGTTCTCTTCCTGTTTGACTGTGTCCGAATACAGACAAATTTCACCTGCACGTATCTAGGGAAGGCAGAGGTGACAATGAGAAAGGTGCTGGTTGCCCTCTCTCTCATCAGAGATTTATACTGACCAGCGTATTTCCCAGAAACAAGGTAGGATAGAATGTAAGGAAGAAAAACGGACAGTAACTCTCCAGTCCCAAAGTAGTCAGCTTTGTTCAAGACTTTCCCTGTTAAGACACTCCTCAATCTCTATATATTCATTTCCTTCCCTTAAAAAAATGCTTTACTTTGGGCTGGCCTGGCATTCACTATGTAGTCTACTGTGGCCTTCAACTTGCTGTAAACTTCCCAGCTCAGCCTCCTAAGCTCTGGGATTACAGAGGTGAGGTACTATACCTGGCCTCAGGCCTAATTTCTGCCATTCTCTTTGTTGCCAACAACCCAGTCTGAGGCAGGATATAAGAGAATGGGCAAGTGCAGCAGAGTGCCCAGCTAGTTTCTTCTTGCTTAAAATGACCCATTTGGCTGGGCAAGGTGACACATGCCTGACTATAATCCTAGTACTAAAGAGGCTGAGGCAGGAAGATTGTCAATTTGAGGCCAGCCTGTGCTATGAAGCAAGATCTTTTCTTGAAAATAAAAAAATAAAAAGCCCTTATTCCTTTGGGATACTATTGCCTTCGCCTTCTCTAGACAGCAAAGATGAAGTAATTTTATGAGGACTGCATCATGGCTGTTGACTGAGCTCTTCAAGGGCCTTTGGGATTAGGGTGGCTCTGGGCCGGGTGTGGTGGCTCAGGCATTTAATCTCAGCACTAGGGAGGCAGAGGCAGGAAGATCTCTGTGAGATCCAGGCCAGCCTGGTCTACATAGTGAGTCCCAGGCCAGTTGGGGCTACAGAAACACCCTTTTTCAAAAAGACCAAAAAGTAAAAAAAATTAAAAATACAAAGGAGGGAAGAGCTCTACTTATCTTTTATATAAAGAAATATGTCCATATCCAAAAGTTTTTGTTTTTGGTTTGTGATGGAGACTGAGCCAGTGTACATTTTACTGAACACTCTTGAGTATACCAAGCCCTCTAAAAAGTCTGTCAATCAACTGAGTTGGATGATTTGTAGGGTCTCTTCTAGAGTTGGCATTCTAGGTCGAAAGGAATGATGCCAAGGAAATGGTTATTAAATTATCTGTTCTCTTTTTTCTTTTTGGTCTTTTTGAGATGGGGTCTTCCTGTAGCCACAGTTGGCCTGGAACTCACTATATAGACCAGGCTGGCCTTGATCTCACAAAGATCTGCCTGCCTCTGCCTCCTGAGTGCTGGGACTGAAGGTGTGTGTCACCATGCCCGCAGGTTTTCTCTTTTCTTATCCCCATTCAACTTCTGTGTTCAAGACCCAGTCAGGCTGCCCATTCTCTTCACAGTCTTTGTGGGTAACTCCAAGCCACAGTAACTGCCCCTGAAATCTGAATTCATTACATTCATTCAAAAGGCCTTGTAGATTCTGTGGCTACCAATACAACTAGGGGTGAAATGAGGGTACTGCAGGTCAAATGGACTTGGATCCTTTGAATCCTGGCCATCACTTGGAAGTTGTTTAATCTTGGGCAAGTCACTTCATCTTTATGGGTATAGTTTGCCTATCATAAAATGAGACAATCTCATTAGCGTTGTTATGAAGATTAAATGAGCCACAGACAAAATATTTAGCCCAGAGCCTGCCACAGTCTTTGATTTATGCTAAACCAGCTGCTATTATTACAGCTCCCATACCCTATAACTTTCTGTTGGATGTTCATGTAGTGTCTTTCCAACTCAGTCAGGAAGTCTCAAAGCACCAGGACTAAATTATTCCCCAGTGTATTCCAAGTACCTAACACAATGCTGTTCCTTCAGCAGATGCTTATTAATGATATAATGGATGAATGAATCACAGACCACCAGTGGGTGGGATGGGTCACACCCCTGCCTCCTCAGGGTGTTGGCCCAGCTGAAAAACCAGAAAAAAAATCTCAGCCTCTAGCTTGACATGGCACTGCCTGGGGGCACCACCTACACTTTTCTAAACACTCTAATCCAGCTGGTCCTGTTTGCCCACCCTGTAGGGCCAATTTAGAAAAACAGGATATGTCAGTCCTATGATAACAGGGTGGAGGGGCCTGGGGCCGAGAATGTTTGCATCTGTTGTGGGCACAGTGCTCGAGTGGCATCATCTCTAGTTTTGGTCAGGAAGGGCTAGAGCAGTCCAACAGGATTTTGAGGCAGCCAGAGGGGTCCAGTGTGTGGCTTCTGCCTGTCTCTCCAGTCTTATTTTCTTCTGTTCTCCACCTTGTCTTCTGTGCCTTAGACAAACTGCCCACAACTTCTTGTGTTCACTATGAGGTGTCTTCTGGCAATTGATGCAGTTTCTTGTTTTGTTTTTCCCCTTTGGTCTGTTTTGAGACAAGGTCTCCTAGAGCCCCAGCTGGCCAGGAACTCACAGAGATCTGCCTGCCTCCACCTCCTGAGTGCTGGGATTAAAGGCATGTGCCACCATGCCCAACTTTTTTTTTTCTTTAACTTACTTATGTTTATAGCTTTATCTGAAATGATCTTCTCACCTTCCTCATCTCAAAGCTCATTCACCCTTCAGGATACGTGAAACCATCATCTTTTCTAGAAAGCCTTCTCCAGACATTTAGACCAGGCTCTACCCTTCTGGTAGCTCAACATATTAGCCTAACTCTAACTCAGATTATATAGGCTTTATGTGAGTTTAATGACTGAGGAGCTACTGCCAACCATACAGCGCTTCCTACCATTCCTGTTAGTGTCTGCAACCTTCCAGATAGGATCCTGGACATTCTCTTTCAGTCTTCCTTCTTCCCTCCCACTTTTTTTTTTTTTTTTTTTAAATTTGAGACTGGGCCTCATTTTGTAGCCAACACTAACCTCAAATTCACAAGCATCCTCTTGACTTAGCCTCCCAAGTGCTGGGATTACGGGCAGGAGCCACTACATCTAGGATCTCACTGCCCCCACCACTGTTTTTCTTTCTTTCTTTCTTTCTTTCTTTCTTTCTTTCTTTCTTTCTTTCTTTCTTTCTTCTTCCTCTCTCTTTCCCTCTCTCCCTCTCTCCCTCCCCCCTCCCTCTCTCCTTCCTTCCTTTCCTTCTTTCCTTTCTCTTTTCCCCATTTTTACAATGCTGGGATCAAACCCAGGGCCTTGCACATGCTAGGCAGGTATTCTACTACTGAGCTAACCCCAGCCCTATATCTAATATGTTAACAGGTCTTTTAAATTCTTCCCTACCGCTGCTACATGTACTGCAGATTATATGCCAGTCTATACCAAGCCTCTAATAGTATCATTTTACCCTAGCAAAAAGTCTATTACTATCTAAATGTTACAGAGGAAAAAAGCATAAGGCGGTTCTCAAGGAAGAATCTAGGATTTACCTCTCCAGCTAACACCAGGGCATCTAAGGTTTCAACTAACTTTGCTTGCCTATAATCTAACTAGTTAACCATTCTTTTGCCTGGTTTCCTTAAAAGTATTTCTCCTGTCTGTGAGTTTCCTTTTTATTCTCCTCATCTTGACCTTTACCACACTGGTTAGGTTCAATAACTTCCTGAAAGATCTCTGATCAAGGGCCTCTGAGATGGCTCAGCAGGTAAAGCCTGGAGACCTGAGTTCAAACTCTGGAACCCATGAAAAGGGGGAAAGAGAGAACAAATGCCACCAAATTGTCCAAATTGTCCTCTGATCTCTACATGTGGGCTAACCCCCCCCCCGTGTGTGTGTGTGTGTGTGTGTGTGTGTGTGTGTGTGTGTAGTAAAGGTATGAAAATAAAATCTAATTACCAGGCTGGGTATGGTGGCTCATGCCTGTAATGACTGGGCTGTAGCCCAGTAGTAGAGTCCTTGCCTTTGGTGTATAAAACCCTAGGCTCAATCCCCAGTATAGCCAAGAAAAAAAAAAAAAAAAAAACCAAACAAAATTTGTATTTGTATTGCATACAGAGAGACATTTTTCTTATTATTAAGTATAAGGGTGGTTATGTGCAGCTTATATATAACTATTATGTCATTTTATGTAAGACACTTGAACATCCAGTGATTTTGGTATCTGAGGGGTATCCTGGAACCAACCCCCTGACACTGAGGGACAAGCATAGATTTATCTGATCCAAAAATAATCAGTACCAGTTAAAGTGATTTCAGAAAAAAGATATGACAGTGTCCGGAGCCACTAATCATTGACCTGTGTCAGGCTTGTTTACTGAGTGTGTGTTATGCACACCAGTATCTAATCTGCCTTATTAGGAGGAATATGTTTATATGGCGAGCCTCACAACACCTGCAATAGTGGAAGCCTTTGATCTGACCGCTCCTTGACCCTCAGATACAGGTGGGGAAAAACAGCAGTTGTAACTAATTGAGTTCTTCTGTATAAAAAGGCAGAACTGAAATAAATCGAGGATGCAGTATTTACTGTGAGCCCTCCCAAGCGTCTTTCCTGTCTCCTTTTCTTTCTTTCAATCCTCACTCCCCCTTTCAGGTACTGTCCGTTTTGGCCGGCTAGCACCAGCATGACAGGAACTGTTGTTTGTCAACCCAACATCCTTTTGTCTCTTTTTCCCTTCCTAACAAAGAGCCAGCTTTATTCAGGTTGCCATTCCTCTCCCACAATAGTTAAATGCTTCATGGCTAGTCTAAGTCAATTAAGGTAATCTTACTAGGACTGGGCATTCTAGACAAAGAAGCAAGATAGAAAATCAGCAGAAACCAAGGAAGGAGGCTTGTTCTGGATGTGACTTCTCATTTGTGACATGTGGGGAGCCATCCTGAGGACAGACAAGGATACAGAATAGAAAGACACAAGGAGCCTGGCCAGTGAGACAGTCAGGTCAAGAGGCTCATTCTAACTACTGGCAACTCATAAACCATTGGAGTTAGAGTTTTCAGTTAACAGAGGACAAAAGCATCCTGCAAACTGGGTGCAGTAGCACATGAGTCTAATCCCTGCACTCAGGGAGCTGAAGCAGAACTGTCCTGCATTCAAAACAAGCCTGAGCTACA